CTAATCGTATTTAGTGGGTAATCAGTCATTGATAAACCACCTATCATTTCTGTGACTAAAGAGGTTAGAGGAGAATCACTATGCTGCACACCAGGCATTAACACAACATTGTAAATCAACTATACTTCAATTTAAAAAAAATAAGAGTAAATAAAATTTTAAAACAGAATTAGAGGAGTCTAAGAACCTGAACAGAGACATTCAGGGGAAAGCTCTTCCTGCGTTTACTTACCTCCTTCACCTCTGCGATTTCCAAAGGTCTGGGGCAGGGATGCAGCTAAACTAGGGCAGGAGACAAATCCAAAGGGGAGGAGATGTTACGTTCAGCAGAGCCGTTCACCTCTGAGCTGTGAGATACCACACTGAGTCCTGGATCTCCCTGTGTTGGGGATTGCCTTCCTGTGGGGTGTGTCAGGGTGGTTGGGCCAGGAAGCAGGGAACACCTGAAGATTCCTTCTGGAAAGAATAGACTTCTATGGGAACAGCCCTACCGGCTTTCGCTCACTGAATATGGCCGGATGTGTTTATGTGTCGAGATTTTCCCCAGTGCTTCTTAGCAGCCATGAGAATTACCCACTGAGCAGCACAGACCCAGGTGAAAAGGAGCACGTCTGAATTCCAGCAGAGGACGCGACTTAACGTTCAGCCGAGGTTCTTCCAAAAAATGTCAGAGTGATGCCAGAGGGAGAGCACAGCTACGTGGAGGGCTCAGAGGTGTGCCCTGAAGGAGCCAGGGTATGAGATGAGAAAGGAAAGGTAATTAACGTGAGGTGAGCCCCTCCTAGGGGCTCACAGTCAGACTGCCCGAGGCACCCACATAAACAGGTGCTAAACAATAATTAATCAGAAATGCCGGTGCTAATTAACCAAGGGATCCACCCAGGAGCTCCTGCATAATTGGTAAAAAATATACAGAGATTTTGATCAGTTGCAGGAGACAGTGCCCTCAACTAGGAGTTTATAAAATAAACAACACTCCTACCCTGAGGGTGCTGGACAGTCTCTTGTGTCTTGGGGGGTATCTGTATATGTAAGCTGCACAGTGTGACCCCAGACTTGACACCATCCCGAAGCCAGCTTTGTGACAGCAGTCTGAACTTGGCAGTCACCATTGGCTGAAAGGAAGATACCAAACACCACATGGTATCGGGATGTTTACCCAGGACCTGCAAGTTTTTTATCACCTAAATTTGTTTTATTCAAAAAAGTTGGAAAGAAAATTAGGGGGAGAGCAAGAATAACAGGAAACTGATACGGTTAGGTCAGGCTTTGCCATCTCTCCTCTTTTTGTTTGTCTCCTCCAACACATTGTCTCGGCCTTAGAGAGGAAGTCAATTAAGAATTAAATCTGTTTCTGCATAGAATGGTTATTCATAAGAAGTCAGTTTCTGTGAAGAAAACTGGGTGATGGATACTTCTTAAGACCTCTCTGTAATATTTTGGCAATTTCTTGTGAGTCTACAATTATTCCAAGATAAACAGTTTAAAAATACGAGCTTTTTTAAAGTATAAATAAAAACTTCAGTTTCTCTTCACATGCTTTCAGTTCGCAAAAGCTGAAACAAGTATTTAAAGATCTGCCTGCAGGTGTTCCAGGTCATTGACGTGTTTTCTTATAGGTCCGTTTGTGTGATAATTTTGTGATTTCATGCACTGAAAAATGCCGTGGGGCTAATCATGTCACACTCCTCTTTAAAGGTGAGAAAAGAGAGAATCGTTAAATTAGATAACTTGCTGAAATCCGTTCAATGCGTGGAGCCAAGAGGGCTCTGAACTAAGCCAGTGTAACTCTGAAGTCCGACAGTCTTGTAGGTCTGTCTCCCAGCAGGGCCTGTGAGAGCCAGGAGAGTCTTCCTTTCGCTCCATCTCAGGTACCATGGACCTACTTGAACATGATGGGGCTTTAAAACCCCTGCTTTTCAGGGAGGAGGTATAGCTCAAGCGGTATAAAGTGTATGCTTAGCATGCATGGGGTCCTGGGTTCAATCCCCAGCAGCTCTTCTAAAAATAAATAAGTGTAATTACCTCCCCCACCCACTCCAAAATAAAGTAATTAAGTAATACAGTGATACATTGTTTTCTTAATTCCTGCTTTGTGGTTCTTTTGGTTTGTTGGTTTTTTTTTTTTCCTGTAGTTCTTCCATGCGATCTACCCAAGGGCTTCATACCCTGCGTGGGCTTCCCAGACAGTAAGAGCTGGATAAGCTCCCCCTCTCGAGCGCTGACATAGGAAGGTCCTATTCAGACTCACGGGCAATCTGCATGCATCCCGCATCCTTGATTCACACACGTGGGGGATCACGTACCCACCAGTTAGTGTCTGGTGGCCCCATGACATGCTTTAGTGGCCCTGTGGGAGGCTCCAGGGAAGATCAAGGCAGCTGGGCATTTAGACATACGCTCCTTTTGACCTTGACTCTTCTCCCCGACATCAGCTTTACTCCCTGTCCCTCCCTTCCCTCCTCTTCCCCTCCTGACTTCCATTCTTCCTTCCTGCCTTCCTTCCTTTCCTCTCCCTTCACCTTCCCCCCTCTTTTGGTCTAGCAAATTCCAGCTCATCTTAAAGGTTTCAGCTTTAATATCACTCCGCCTTCCAGGGAAGTCTTTCCTGACTCCCCAGACTAGAATATATTTGCCTCTTGTGCACTTGTGGGTCCTCTTTGTTTCTGTCTCTGATCATTATTTCTCATTCAGTGTCTCTCTACTCTGTTAGATTTTAAACTCCAAGAAGGTAGGGACAAGATTTTTTTCTTTTTCACCTCTGTATCCAGCCCAATACCTGGCAAATAGCAGGTAGGGAGGTGGATAACTGTTGCTGAATGAATGAATGAATGTCCGATCAGGTCCTATTCACTGCATTGATCGCAGGTTGTAGTTTTATAGATACTTGTAAACTCCATTCATTGACTTTCTCCTCCTCTGGGCTGTGAGCTTCACGAAGGTGACGATTAGGTTGTCTTCCACCTAGTTGTGTTCTTAGTGCTTAACAGAGTGCTTGGTACATGATAAGATGTTCAACAGATAGTGAAGGGATGGATGAGCAAATGAATGAATAAATGATATTTCAGGAAAAGCTATAAATACTACCTACCCTATTAACCACATTCTCACTATCCCAAACTGCTTTCAATTCTTCTTTGGTAAAAAGCAGGGATTTTTGTAGCATCAGACTTAGGTTCCCATAGCCGTCCAGCCGCTAACTAGATGCAAACATAGGTATTAGGTTACTGGTCTTTGAGACCACAACAGCCTCCTTCCCCGTTCCTCCCACCTGAGTGATCTTCTCCCACATTCGTTCGGATTTGGCCTTGTGATTTGCTCTGGCGAACGGGCCATAGCAAACAGGATGCAAGCAAAGTCTTGGAAAAGGCTTGGGCATTGGGACGTTCCCTTTCTTGCTGCACTTGGAGCCCTGAACCTATCATGTGGATGAGCCTGAGCTAGCCAGCTGGATGATGAGAAGCCACCCGGAGAACTGAGGTACCCGGCTGACTTCCTGCCCATCGACAGAAACATGAATGTGACAACCCCACATCATCCAGCTGCCTTCCAACCCCCTTGCAGAGACCAGATGATCAGGTCCTGTTATAGGTTGAACTGTGTCCCCAAAATGCATATATTAAAGTCCTAACCTCCAGTGCCTCCAAATATGACCTTCCTTGGAGACAAGTTCTTTAAAGACACAATCAAGTTAAAATGAGATTCTTAGGATGGGCCCTAATCTGATGTGACTGGCGGGCTTAAAAGAAGGATAAACATGGACACAGACACAAGAGAATGTCGTATAAAGATGAAGACTGCCAGGTATCCTTCCCTCACTGCCATCAGAAGGAATCACTCTGCCGACACCTTGATTCAGACTTCTAGCCTCCAAAACTAGGAAACAATTCACTTCTGCTGCTTTAGCCACCCACTCTGTGGAAGTCTGTATTATAGCGGCCCAGAAAACTAACTCGGGCCCAGACCAAAAGAGCTGACCAACTGACCCCCACCACAGGGAGCTCAATCAGGCGGTTATTGTTTGAAGCCCCTCATGCAGCAAAAACTAGTTGATCAAGTGGGTAAATGAATCTCTCTAGGCTCTAGTTTTCACAATTACAAAAGGAGTTTAAACCCATTTTCCTCCCATGGTTATCAAAATTTGTAGACACTGACAGGCATAGGCAGAATAGATAAACAAGATTATACTGTATAGCACAAGGAAATACATGCAGGATCTTGTCCTGCTCAGCACAGGACCTGACGTATAAATACTATTTGATGAGGGCTTACTTTGTGTTACCTTGGGAGTGTATGGTGAGTCAAAACCAGAGTTCTTAACCCAAGAAAATATAAACGTCTACTTTTGAATTATTTTAACTGATGCTGTATATAGAGCATCAGTTTATACAAATCTACAGTATCAAATGGAGAACACTAAGAGAACAACAGACACTTGACAATGACTTGCTGGCAGTTTAAATGGACCAGGGTTCAGGAGGAGCAAAATTAAAATATTGATAAGTATTGAAAATAAAATTATTGAAATACCTCTAAAACATAAATAGATTACCCCTCAGTTGTAGCGGTAATGGAAACTAGTTGAGAAATGAACTCCCAGTTACCCAAGATCACATAGCTGATGTTCAATATAAGCAAGAAGAAGAGACAGGTGTTTCTCATTCCAGATCCCAAGTTCCCTCTACAGCACTTGAGCATTGGGTCTATGTGCCTTGAATGGCCTCAGGAAGCCACTGGCAATATCAAGTCACAAGATAATCACTGTTCGTGTGCATCGGAAACAATACTAACGAAACGCAAATGCACTGTTCTAGTGCATTCTGGCAATATCGAGGTGCCACATAAGGACGCTGTGTGTCTTTAAGGACACCCTTTGGGTTGGGAGACCTCAGCCTCCCACAGCTTCATTTATTGCACTTGAACTCAAGAAGAGGAAGTCCCACCTGTACACAGATCACAACAACCAAGGGCTGTGGCCACATTTCACAGGAAACCAGACCTAAAACGGACTGAGGCAGAGCTTTCTGCTAAAGGACACTACTTAACATTGAGAATAACTCTATCCTCAGCCAACTGAACGGATTGCCAGCTCCTGAAGTTCCTCGTGATGCTACCACAGAGCCCCCCACCAAGGGACATCTCAGCACAAGGCTGTTTGCGCTCCCCACGTTGCTCAGGTAAGCCATGTAGGCCAGCCTGGTCTGAGTGGTCATCTCTGTGTCATAAAGGATCATTGGGAAAGAGCTGACCACCAAGAATAAAAGGTTTTTCTAACATGGAATGCAGGGCCTTCTATAAAGCATCAAACAGGCAGAAAGCAAGCCAGTTCTCTTAATCAGCTTTTAAAAATCCCTTTATTCTTCTGGAAGAAGGAATCATGATACTAACCGATAAAAAATGAAAAGATTAAATGTTTCAATTGTCTCTTCCTGGAGCTTGGGGCCCTCGACTGTGGGCCACTAAAATCTAGAGGCCAGAAAAGCTGTGGGCTTTCTTGGCTGAATTTTATCAAGATAGCCTTGATTCAAAGTAGGCCATTGAAAGTAGATGTTAAGTCCTAGAGCTTCTGTGGGAATATGTGTATTTTTTTAACTTTCTAACTTGAAATGGTTTTCTTTCTGTCTTGGTGTGGAGGAGGGTGTGAACTCTGCATTCATGCTGACCATCCTCCCTCTGTAGAGGTGAGGAGTCCAAAACAGGGGAGTAAAGTTAGGGTAAAATGCCCACCTTCTGGGGGTACCAGGAGACATCTCTTCCAGATGCCTCTTCTTCTTAGAGAGAACAAAGAATAAACTAGAGCAAGGCAGAAAAGAGAACGGGTGTCCCCGAATGTCTATACTTTAAAAGATGCAGCTGGATTCCATCAGCGCTGGTTTTATTACCTGAACCAACGTTACTTACCTACTTATCTCTCCCTATTGTGGCATGGCCCCTCAAGGAAGTTGTTCCTTCGGATTCTCAAGGGCCACCCAAGTCACAGGGAATAGGCATTTCAAAAACCAGGAAGCCGATCGTAGGTCAGGCTAATTGGAGGTCAGTCACGAAATGACAAAGCTTCAGAAATCCTCTGAGAAACTAAAGATAAAATATGCCTTAGAGAAGCAAGAAGGGCAACTGGTGTTTATTTAACTCTGTTTCTTGCCAACCCATCTCTATACATTAACTCATTTAATCCTTACATCCAACCTTGAAAGTCAAGTATCATTTTCCCTGGTTTACTCATGAAGACCTTGAGTGGCCCAAGTAAGCGCTCAGGGTGGTCCAGGCACTGATATCAGTAACAGAATTCAAAACTGCACTGATTTGCACCTGATTCTGACTGATGTGAATGGTGGCCACTGTTCCTTTGCAGCTTCATAGAGCTCATCTTTTGTCTGTTCATGGAGTGGTCTTTGACCCCTGCCCTCTTAAAGGTGATATTTCTCTTTCTTTTCTCCAAGGAGCCCTCTCAGATGACTCTATAAACAAGACCATCCTAAAACCAAAGGTCATGTGGTTTTCTGTACTATCTGGCTCCCTCTTGCTTAATGCTTGAACCCATCTCCAGCTCACTTTGCCATGAGTCAGATGCTGTCATGGAAAGACTGTAGAATTTAAAATCTAACTCAGTTGCTCAGGATCCCAACTCTGCAGCTTGACCAGATATGTTACTTTATTCCTTCTAATCCTCAATTCCTGCATCTTTACAATGGAGCAAGAGCACATCACTTGTATTGACAACTTTTTAGCCTCAATAATATAATATTTATATTCAATGACATACAGTGTATAGTTAATACCTAGCATGTACTCAACAAATGTTGGCTCTTTCTACATTACTTTCCTTTCCTCATCCCACATCAGCTCTGGCCTTATTCCTAAAACATGATCATAATCAGCATGGAATTGATTCATACAGATAAATTATGATGATGATTCATACAGATAAATTATGATGATTTCACTTTAATAATCTCATTAGAGGATAGTCACATACCACAGTTACATGGCCTTGCACGACATACAGAGCTTTTGAGCACATTGTCTATTTAACGATCTCAACAACTTAATGAAGTAGGCAGGGTAGTATTAGATATTAAAACTGAGGCTCAGGTAGTTGATGAGGATGGACGGTATGGTGATAGGGAGAGGAGGCTTTGAGGTCTGTCAAAGCTGAATGTGAATGGGGCGTGTGACTTAATTATGTGTTTGGGGGGTAAGTGGCTTAACTTCTCTGACCTTTGGTTAGCTGTCATTGGTGTTTCGTAGTTCAAAACTGGGTGGATTAATACACATTATGGGTTGCTGAGTGATGAAAAAGAGCATCTTTGGAGTGTCTGACACAGGAGATGTGCAGGAAATGGATAAATGGCAGCCATGGAGTGTTGACACCAAGGTCACAGGGAGCAGCAGAGTTAAATCTAAAAGTATCCTTTTATGAATACCACCACATCCAGCAGTTAGAGTCACCGTTGCAGGCAACTGCCAAGGTCCACCAGGCCCTGGGCTCTGGACAGTGGCTCCAGGCCACGCCTACCCATCCTAGCATGAGAAAGACAGAATGTTCAGAAGGGTTAAATTATTAAACAGAAATGAGTAGTTGAGCCTAAGTTAGATTTAAAATTTTTAACAGATTGAATAAGATTTTCAACGATTTTGGAAAGTTATCAAGAAGGCTGAGAAACATCAGGTTACACAGGTTAGCTATGAAAAACAGAATTGTGGGAAACAGCATCATAGAAATTTTTGTGATTTTTTTGCTTCTGTTACATCTGCAGACAGAATACTTTGGGAATCATCGCCATGCTTCTTCATCTTAATTTTAATCATGACTTCCAAACAGCAATGACCAGTAGATTGCCATTTGAGTGCCTACTATGTGCTGTATAATGAATACTCATTGTTTCTCACTTTTTTAGTAGATACACTTATTCTTATTCCAAAAAGAGGATACCGAGGTTCAGAGATTCTATACATTGTCCATTTCACACCAGAAAGAGGAGCCAGGTCTACTGAAATCCCAAGCTCCTGCTCTTTGCACTCCTTTCCATCAGAGCCCTGCTGGATGTGCTCAGGGTCATGATCACAGCATCATTTTCCTTCAGACTAACCAACAGCATTTTAGAAGTCCCAGATATGCCATAAGCAACAGTAACGATATGCATGTGAGTTTGTTTTTCATATTTCATTGGTGATGCTAACTGAAACACTGTTTCCCAAGCACTTATGTGTGGTAATTAGAATGCCACCTTGTTTACATGGCTTTGTGCATAGCTGTTTGCATATTAATGAGCCAAGTATGAGCCAAAAGATCTGGGTACCACATGGAAATTCAATATCCATGCATTTGAGGGCATAGTCCTTAATTGTGGTGTCTTCTCTGTTGTATTTAGCGTGAGATAAATACAAAAGTTGGCTAGTAACCCCAGCCCAGCTTCTGAGAGGACTGAGCCTTTGTGGTGTCCTTGGGGACCCACATTTAGTCATCAGCTTTGCAGATTCAGAAGACTTATTTTATCCAAGGCACTCAGAGTTGATGGGACTTAAGGGCATTGCCTGACTCTGGTATTCGGGGCCCTACCTCCATCCATCTTCTGTGACTTTGTTCAAGCATTAAAAGTGTACTCAAGTTGTAAGTTCACTCTCAGGAGGCAAATCTACACAGGATATCAAATGACTGTCAGGAGGTAGCTTGGTTAGCACAAAGTCAGAGCTGGGTCATTGTAATAGCTGGGTTTGCTAAGCTATTGATGGTCTGCTATCTCGATAGGTACCTGGGAGCCAGGCTGCCCTACAACTGCTTATGAATATTCATAGAGCAGGTCACCCTTACTCTTGGGCAAATCTAGGGATCTCCGGACCACTCCATGGTCAGGGGCCTTCCCAGAGAACACATCCACACAGTCCTTATCCCAAACTCCTACTTCTGTTGCCAAGCTCTCTCTGTTAAACCACCCCACCCAGTCTCTAAGAAATAGATATCCTGGGTTTGAATTCAGACCGTTACTTCCTAGCAGGTTAATTTTAGACAAGTTATTTAACTTCTCAGAACCTTAGATTATCATTTATAAACTGGAATTGCAAGACCTACCTTTTGCATTTGTGTTGAGAAATGAGATGCAATATGTAAAAGTTACATATTATATAGTGTCTAGCAATAATTAAGTGTAAAGTAAATGCTAATGGCTATATTATCATTTTTAGCACAGTTATCATGAGTTTACATTCAAATAAACCATCTTTAGATTCTTTTGGGGAGGGTGTCACTTTTTAAGAATTTTGACCTATAAAGAAGTCTTATTTTGAGGTGATTTCTACAGAAAGTTAATCTCCTCATTTTTGCATTTATTTCAATCAGTCATCTATCAAAGCTTTAATAGTATCTCTCAACTCCTCAAATGCACTGATCCTCTGAAAATACAAAGATTTCATGAAAAATGATAGGAATTCCTTTGGAATACTTTCCTTGCCAATTTCATATCCTCTGTGCCGTTCATGGTACTGAAACTTAGAAGTTGCTCAATACTTGCCTGTTGAACTAGACTTGCAAAAGTTCAGAATTTAAAAAATGCTTTCACTTCCATGATCTCATTTGGTTTCCAGAATCACCCTCTGAGTAAAGGAGCATGAGTGCTTATATCCTCATTTTTCAGACTAGAGATAGTGAGGGTCAACTTGTACAATTCACGGTACAATTCAGTGTACCTGGGCTTAAAGACCTGCCTCACATCTTGCTAGGAAAGTGATCCTGAATAAAAGAAGGGACAAAGAAAGCATTAATTATATAAAGGAAGTTCAATTTAGGAGTTAAATTCTAAATGCTCTTGAAGTTACAAATTAAGTGATGATCTCATCTGAATCCATACTGTGCATTTGTTCGCTAGACAGATTTGGCCAAAGAGGACTCTCACTGAACAAAATGACAGAATTGTTCAATATTGAAAAATCTGGGTCACTTGGATTGTTACCTTACCATGGAATCTAAATTAAATGGAATGTCCTACATAGTGTTCTAGCATTCAGTAAGTGGTACCACCAATATCATTGTAATTATCATCTTTATTATTATTATTATTATTATTATTTATTATTATTATTATTATTATTATTATTATTATTATTATTAATTACATCACTCTTAGTCCATTCTTGGTTAGACTACCTGACTTTTCATGCCTTTTCTTTTTTTTCTTCCCTT